CCACCCTGCAGCCCCTTCTCTTATCATCCCTCTGAATTTGAATTTCATCATTTTACTCACTTTAAAACAGGATTTAACTCCATTCTCTCGTGTCTGTGGAAGGTTTACTGCCTTTTTTGGTTTACTTGAGCTCACACAACTCGGCTGTGGAGTTCAGTTGAAGCTGCAGTCCGGCGTGTAGCGGCTCGGTGAATGTGGTCTGGACTCTGTGGATTAAAGTCATGGTGTCAGAGACGCTGTAGAAGGACAGAACACCTGCACTGTGATCCAGATAGACTCCGATTCTGGGCTGACAGACCGAGATGGACGTTTTCCTCTTGTCATGTGTGAATGTGAAGCCTTTGTTTTCACACTGTAAAGCCCAGGACTTGTCGTTGTTTCCATATTCACTCTCCTCTCGCTTTCTCCGAACGCCCTTGTACGAGACCGCCACCGAAACGCCGACTCCCGTCCACTCGACCTCCCAGTAACACCGTCCAGTCAGACTCTCTCTGCTCAGCACCTGAATCCTGTCGGTGAAGGACTGGTTTTCCGTCGTACCGTACATCTCCACCACCAACTGCACCACTGTTAAGAAAGACGTTTCCTTTGTTGTCACCTTTCTGTTCTCGTCAGACAAGATTAACAACATGTGTGCTGTGTTTGGATCCAGCGTGATGCCACAAGAGTACTGTAGGAACTCAGCTCTGGTCTTTGGTTCCGATTGCGGGAGCAGAAGGTCCACTTCTGTCGCTGAGAACTTGCTCAACTCCTCGCTGAGAACGTTCCACAGTTTGTCTCCAGACTTCGACACAGCCGCCATGGAGTCCTCGAAGTGGGACAGAGGATGAAAATAGCAGCTTGGCGAGTCCGTCCAGTCGCAGATTTGTGACGGTGGAACATGTAGAAACTCTGAGTGGTCCTCGATGTTTGAAAGCTTCTCCAATTCGGAATATTTCCTCCTCAGCTCGCTGATCTCTTGCTGCAGCTCCTCCTGAAGCTCTTTAAAGCGACAGACTTCATCTTTCTGCTTGGATCTGATCTGCTGCTTCACCTCAGAGCTTCTCTTCTCAATCAGACGGATGAGATCTTTGAAGATCTTCTCACTGTTGCTTACAGCTTTGTCAGCAGACTGATTGACGGCCTCCACCTCCTGCTGAAGCATCCTCATACATTTTTCTTTTTCTGTGATTCTCTGCTGCATCCTTTGCTGGTTCCGCCTGACTTCTTTCTGCCTCTTGGTTCTTTCGGTTTCAGCTGGAACTGTGTCGTGGCCTTTATGTTCATCCATGGTGCAGAGATAACAGATACACTGCTGATCAGTGCGGCAGAAGATCTTCATCACCTCATTGTGTTGAGAGCAGATGTTCTCCTGAAGCTTCGTGGACGGATCGACCAGCTTGTGTTTCTCAAATGCAGGAGATTGATAGTGAGGCTGGAGGTGTTGCTCACAGTAAGAGACCAGACACTGCAGACAGGACTTGACAGCTTTCAGTTTTCTCCCAGTGCAGACATCACAGGACACATCTCCAGGTCCGGCATAGCAGAGATCAGCTGGAGCAGCTTTAGGTTCTGTCTTCTGCACTTCTTCCACTAAATCTGCTAGCATGGTGTTTTTCTTCAGTTTCGGCCTCGGTCTGAACGTCTGTCTGCACTGAGGACAGCTGTGGGTTTGCTTCCTGTCTTTTTTATCCCAGTAGCTTCTAATACAGTTCATACAGTAGCTGTGTCCACAGGGAATAGTCACCGGATCCTTCAGGAGATCCAAACAGATCGAACAGCTGAGTTTCTCCTGGTCCATCTGAAATCTTTGCTGCGCCATTTCACCTCCCACGCGGTCAAACAGTTTCACTCTCAGAAAAAAACAAAACTTCAATTCCTCGTCTTTGCTCGCACACTTTGATCCACAGAGAAGATCTTCACAGTTAAAACGCTCCACAGAATGTTTCTTGTAAACTTGCTCGAATGTGGCAGAAAAACAGGAAATCAGACTAACGGTGCTTCAGCTGCTGAGAAAAAAAAAGAAAAGAGAGGGAGGAGTTTTTATCCGGCTTGAACAGATTCCAGGAGAAGGAGGAGTTTTCTGCAAAGCAACATGTGATTTAGGGCCAGAAAAACAAAGCTAACCCTGTAAAAAGACTCATCCCAGAATATGTTTGTGTTGATCCACTGGTCCGTGAAACTGTTTTTAATGGATCAGTGTCGTCTCTTTGTATTACCGGAGATTTGTCCATCTATAAAATAGTACATACACTAATACACTAATATGTGATTCATATTTAGTCCTGACAGAAAAGTACAACAGGTGTTTGTGCTAACGGCGTTCAAACCTGTGCATTACGAACATTAAGTCTTTCTACGTGTACAAGAATCTGTGTTTTCCTACATATAAAAAACCATCTGTGGAATATACAAATTTCTACATGTGTTCAAATTTGAAGTGTGCTTGGATTCAATTTTTCCGATCACGAATCAGTATCCTGTATAAACATGGGGTCTAAATGCATGTTTTTAACGTCAAATGTCCGTTTAGGATGGAAAGCTAACAGCAGGCTCTGACTTTGCACATTTGTTACGTCGTTAATATGCGTCCTAACTCTAGAAAGTACGTCTTAACATCCTAAAACACACCTTAACTCTTATCATATATGTCTTAACATCCTAAAAGACGTCTTAATTCTGGAAAGTACTTCTTAATACCCTAAACCACGTCTTAACTCTAGAAAATACGCTATACGTAGTATGTTTTTAACGTCAGATGTCTGTTTAGGATGGAAAGCTAACAGCAGGCTCTGACTTTGACATTTGTTACGTCGTTAAAATACGTCCTAACTCTAGAAAGTACTTCTTAGTACCCTAAACTACATCTTAACGCCCTAAAATACGTCTGAACTCTACATAGTACATCTTAACTGTATAAAATAGGTCTTAGCACTCTAAACTACATCTTAATTCTAATTGTTAATACCCTAAAATATGTCTTAGCTCCAGATAGTACGTCTTAATGCACTAAACTGCGTCTTAACTCTAGATCGTGCTAATACCCTAAAACATGTCCCAACACTCTAAAAAACATCTTAACTCTAGATAATACATCTTAACTGTATAAAATATGTCCCAACACTCTAAACTACGTCTTAATTCTAGAGAAGAATTAGCACTGTGGTAAACTTTGAGTGACTTTATCGACTGGAGCTTGACATTCAGAACTACACTACAGAGTGCACTATGAGGTGTGTCGTAAATGACTTCAGGCACAGTTCAGGAGTTTTGGGTTCACAACTCCTGACAGTTGGTAGAAATCTGGTCTGGGATGTTGGTCTGAACCCAAGCACTGACAAAAATGTGGAGAGGTGAGAGATTTACGGAGCAAGTTTGGTTAAAATCTCACATTCACTGAACAAACCCACCAAGCGTTGATTACGTTACGGCAAGTTGTTGCGCCACTGTCTCCATTTGGTTTCCATCTCTGACCATCCTGCAGTGTGATGTATCGTCATAAAAACAACAAACCTCAGTCCACGAGCAGACTTGGTTAGCTGACTAGTAAACCTGCTGTGGTTCCAAAAAACAAAGCAGACGTGACGCACATGCCTTTGAAAAAGGATCGCGTTTTATTTACAGGGATTTCGTCAGAATTACAATACAAACGATTCATAGACCGAGTCTCCACAGACGGAGAATCCATTCAGAGCTGGAGGAGGCCGTGAAGTGTTTGTCTGACAGCATCGAGTGGCAGCTTTGGCAGAGGGAAAGTCCTTGGATGTATGTGCAGCCTCCTCCTCCTCCTCCTCCTCATCTTCGTCTTCTTCTTCTTCTTCACGTCCTCTTCCTGCTCAGTGACTCTCACCTTTCTTTCCTACAACCTGTGCAGCAAACAGAGTAAATGCGTCATCCACGAGGTAAACGCTCACCGACAGATTTAAGGCGTGAATGGAAGCGGACGTCTCGTACCCTTTTGAAGTCGTTCATGTTGGTGGCCTGCACTGGAGTCCCGATGAAGGTCAGGTAGTTGATTTTTGTCGTCTCCTCGTCTCCTTGGTTAGACTTAATGAACAACTGGTGACGAGAAAAAACGAACACAAAGGCGTTAATGATGAAACTAAACCAGTTACAAACGTCTCTACCGGCTGGTTCTGCTGGTTAGTGGGTCTAATACGTCTTCACAGGAAGCAGACGACCACCAACGGTGGTTCTTCATAAGCAGCTGTAGCTCAGGTGACCGATACTAAAGCCACAAAAACCAACTGCAGCGTTTTAAACCTTCATAGAAGGTGTTTATGTAGGACTTCAAATATAAACATGACATCAGCTGCAAACATCTGTCTG